GCAGCCACCTCCTCTGTTTCCAGCTGCTCCCTGCAGCCACCTCCTCTGTTCCCAGCTGCTCCCTGCAGCCACCTCCTCTGTTCCCAGCTGCTCCGCGCAGCCCCCTCCTCTGTTCCCAGCTGCTCCGCGCAGCCACCTCCTCTGTTTCTTGCCTCTTCAGCATCAAATTCGTCCTTTTCCATTTCTCGTTCTCTCTGTATTTTCTTTTCTGTTCTTTTTACTGTTCCTTTTTCTAATCTCAGCTGCATTTAGTAAGTTGGGAATGTACTTGGGCTTTTGATCTTTCCCCAAGAGCAACCTGGGATTGCTTCTCTCCTTCTCTTCCTGCATTTCATCATAAACACTGTCGGGTTCACGCACAGTGGAGTCTCATGCAAGGGCCTTCTGCGTTTCCAGTTTGTTCTGCCTCACGGCCTGTTTCTCAGCAGCTTCCCTCTGAGACTTTCAGTCTTCATGATTTGGGTTCTCTCAGCTACTTCTGTAATGCTCTTATCTTCCTCATCGCCATCATCACCATCATTTCCAAACACTTAACCGTTTTTGCAAAACAGGGTGCAACTGCTGTGTCTTCTTTGGCAAAATGAGCCCATACTGCCTGCCCAGCATCGCCGCTTGCTCCCGTGTCCACTGAACGTGGCCAGCATCCTTGCTGACCAGGGTCATGGTTCTTGGCATTGAGCCGCGCTCTGTGCTATTTGGATGTTGTGACCTCAAGTGCATGTGGCTAACCTCCTACCCGTCTCTGGCTTTCCCACAGGTACAGCCTGTTTCTCCCCCTGCATGAGCTCTGGAAACAGTACATCAGGGACCTGTGCAGTGGCCTTAAACCTGACACGTGAGTGCATTTCTGAAGCCGTGCTGTCTGGGGCAGATCCCAAGTGTCACGACCACTGTGAACCTGGGCATTAGGGCCAGTTCCCTGTGTCACCTGGCCACAGAAGGCTGCAGGCCTTTATCATGGTGTCAGCTAAGGGCTTCTGTTCACCTTGTAGGCAGCCACAGATGATTCAAGCCAAGCTGTTAAAGGCAGATCTTCATGGCGCTGTGATTTCAGGTAATTTACCAGACACTCAGACTGTCACTCGGCGGCACAGCACTTGGGTTAGAGCACTGGACATATTCTTTGCCCCGTCCCCAGACCACAAGTACCGGGAGCTGGAGGCGATTTCTAGCTGTCCTAGCCATTCTGGTCTTGGCTGGACACCCTCCACGTGGTCTCCACACCTTTTCCTCACATAGACCCTCTTGGTATCCCCAGTGGCACAGTGGCTGCTGGCCTGGAATCAGGGACACAGAGTCCCTTTCATCCAGCCCTGTGGTTTCATGTCACCTGTGAACTTTGGGCTCCCAATTGACACCTCCAGCACAGGGCTGCCCGCTGAGCTCCAGGCTTATTCATCCAGCTGCCCACACATGGCCCTGTATGTCCAGTGGGCATCTGAGACCTCACACATCTCAAACAGAACTCTTTTTTTCTTTTCTTTTCTTTTCTTTTTTTTTAGACAGAGACTCAAGCTATAGCCCTAGGTAGAGTGCTCTCAGCCTCCTAAGTAGCTGGGACTACAGGCACTCGCCACATGCCCAGCTATTTTTTTTGTTGCAGTTGTCATTGTTGTTTTAGCAGTCCCTGGCTGGGTTTGAACCTGCCAGCATCAGTGTTCATTCAGTTCCTACAAATGGGATGTGGCTGTGTCACAGCACTCTGTCTGTGGGCCTCAATGGCACTGGGCATATGTGTGACCTCTTTACTCTAGAATCCTGCCCAAGACCCCTGTGGTCACCAGCACTCCAAAGGACCACTAGTGAGAACAGCCTAGGGACTGCAGATCCCCAGGCAGAGGATTGGCAGGCCGGGTTCTTGTCAGCACGGCAGTGCCCACTGCTGAACCTGCACTCTCCAGGTGCTCTCTTTCCTCCTCTGCTGA